GAAGTCTTATTTCCAACTATAATCTAATGAATTTAGATAAACCGAATTCTTTTTATTTGATCAACCGACGGCAGATCGTACTAATCTCATTATCGGTACCGAGATTTGATTTTTGTCAAAAAAATGAAATATTTTTGTCCATTGTTAATGATATTAATCATATAAGTAAGCATCTATTTGTAGCATCCTGTCGAAAACTGATTTATCGACGTTTTTGTGCTTTGATACTAGTTGCTTTAGCAGTTAAATGACTAACCGAATTGACAATACGCCTTATTGAACGGATTTTTCAGGAGTTGACCTTCTACCAGGAAAGTCGCTTACTGATCTAGAATATGCCGATGACATAGTTCTATTCGGTGAAGACGCTGACAAAATGCAGAGTCTTCTGACTACCATAAGCAACAATGCGAGCATGTTCAGGATGCGGTTTTCCCCCTCGAAATGCAAAATGTTCCTTCAAGATTGAGTTTCATCGGCACCTGAACTAGTGATAGGGAGTGAAGTAGTTGAGCATGTTGATCGCTTCAGTTATCTTGTCAGTCTCATCAGTGCTGATGGCCTGGTGACTGACGAAATCTCAGCACTGATACAGAAAGCTCGATTGGCTTTTGCCAATCTGGGTCCCTTATGGCGTAGGTGTGATATCCGTTCGCTAGCCAAAGGACGAGTGTACTGTGCAGTAGTTCGCTCAATTCTCCTATATGGATGCGAAGCATGGCCAGTAAGAGTAGAAGATATTCGTAGGTTACTAGTATTCGATCATAGATGTTTCAGAAGCATTGTTCGTATTTCCTGGCACAACCGAGTGAGCAATGCTGTCGTTAGGAAATGAGTACTAGGTAAGGATAGCAGATCAATAGATGAAGCAGTGAAACTTCATCATTTGAGGTGGTTGGGACATGTGTTACGAATCCGTAACCGCTGACTGCCTCGACGAGCTACGTTTTGTGGTGTAGAAGTAGGTTGGAAGAAAGTTAGGGACGGCCAGACCAAAACATGGCGGAAATCCATGAAGTCACTGACAAGTCGACTGAGTCATGTTGGTAGGTGTTGACTACCGGGTTATGGTCCGCGGGACGAAAGTCAACAATGGTTAGAGTCCTTGTATGACTTGGCTCAAAATGGTTTGTAGTGGCGCAAGTGAATCCATTCTTTTAGCTGTCTCAAATCCTAATCTTCTTCCTCTGCCTTTGTCTTTCTAACTTTATCTCACTGAATTATAATTCTTGAATAATATCTTCAAATCCTAGTGTTCTTCATTACCATTAATACCTCTACTATCTTTATCACTATGGGATTTAATTTGACATTTGTGTCTCTGTGCTAATGTGGTGGTATGGCAACATGAACTTATGTACATACGTACAAAGTTCTACATTGCAACTGACTGACTAACTTATTGAACGGAACCTAAGACACAAAGTCCGATACACACTCATGGTATAATCATCATCAATGCAGAGTCAAAGCGAATTCTTTTTTGAAATATATTTATACACAGTTTTTAATGATTGTGGATGAATGTTGTATTTCTAATGTAAACAAAAATAGAGTTGAGATAGTTGTATATTTTTTTCAGTTGTCAGTTATAACCTAAAACTTTGTATGCACATACATCAGTTCAAGTTTTCATACCATATTAACACGGACGGATGGGATTGTTATTTCGAAACCCGTAGTAGTAGAGGTAGTAGAAGTATTAGCAGTAATTAACAAGATTCAGGATCGTTGTTATGATAATACCTTTTGGTCATATTCCTCTGCCTAATGAATCTTTTGATTGTTAACTTCAATACAATACCTCTCTCTTGTAGTAAGTTGAAAATGGATACATTTTGCGGTAAACTACTATGTAGAGTTACAATCGACGATCACTAATAAGAGCAATTTTAAATTCTTTTAGTGACTGTATTAAACTCGAATTAGGGCTAATCACTTTAGTAGTTCAAAATCTGACTGTAGTTTGGACGAATAATCGGATATGCGTTGAAATAAATCTTCCATTCCATTTCCGTATATCATACTTAAGTGAACTCTGTTTGTGAAACACTGGTAATAAAGAGCCAAATACGGACTCGGTTAAATGAGTTTATTTCAAGCAATCATTCATGTTGCTAGACATGAGGATACAAAGTGTAAAAGCAAATTCCATGAAATGAGACATGACTACGCATTTGTATTCAGTCAGTCAGTTACAGCGTACAACTTCGTACACAAGAACTTAAGTTCAGGTTGTCATACCGCATCAGCGCAAAGACGCAACTTTCAATTCAAATGCCATAGTGCGGTGCTGTGGTGCGAACTACTTATAAGTAGTATATAACGTGAGTGTCAATGTAAAGTCTGGTAGCATAATATGGGGGGAAGATCAAGAAAGGAAGAGTTAGAAAACAATGGAATTTGTATGAAACGCATGAATAGTGACAATGGATTGATGTTTGGCAACAGGAACAGTCCAGTTCCATAGGATGAACTGATCTTCTGCAAATGACCGATTTACGATATGGTTTTCCTATTTAACTGAGTAACACTGTTATTTTCGTTAAATACAATTCGGTTGCCCCACCTGTGTTCTTATTCACTACAATAGTAGTAGCGATAGTGGAAGGATTAGCAGGAGTAGATAAGATTAAGGTTCAAAGATATGATTTAAGAAGTATAATCCAGTGCGATAACTTCAGAAAGAGAAAGATAGAGATGATGAGGAATTCAGAAGGTTAGAATCTGCGAGAACGGAAGGAATGAATGCACCTGCGCCATTCCAAACGATTTTTAGCCATTTCGTTCAACGTCTCTAACCATCGATTACTTTCGTATCGCGGATCCCAACCACACAGCCTACATCTACCCACATCACTCAGTCCACTTGTTAGTGACTTTACGGTTTGATCGCCTACATATTTTTTCTAACGTACACCACAACACAGCTCATTGAGGCAGTCGGTGGTTAGGATACATGAGCAATGCTTCAAGAAATCTATACTCAGATACTAATAACCTAAAATGTCCTCTACTCTTACCGGCTGTCCATAAAGTAGAACGGAGCGAACTGCTGCACAGTAGATTCGACTTTTGATTAGCAAACCGATATCTCGCCTACGCCATAAATGACGCAAGTTTGTAAAAGCCAATCGACCTTTCCGTATCCGTGCTGAGATTTTGTCAGTCACCAGGCCATCGGCACTGATGAGACTCCCCAGATGCGTGGAGCGGTCTACACGCTCGACTACTTCACTTTCTATCACTAGTTCAGGTGCCGATGCAACCCAGTCTTGAAGCAACATTTTGAATTTTGAGGGGGAAAATCGCATCCCGAACATGTTGTATGCAAGACTTTCAATAAATACTCAGACACAAGTCACAAATTAAACGTTTCCTGTTACTTGCATCTTATATTTATTTATGTGCAAATACATTTTGAAAATCAGAATAAATAAAATGAACATCTTAAACGAAATCTATCTTTTAATAACATTTAAATGAATTTCCTAGTAATAAGCCGCGACTCTGTTGAGTGTAGGCAGTAAATACCATAGACAATGGGTGAGTTTGCACGACAGCTCAGACTGACTGAAGTCGGTTATTAAACCCATTGGATACCGACTTGGTGGTCTAGAGATTGAGCTTTCGCGCACGAGAATGAAAGTCCTGGTTTCGAACACTGAGAGGAGGGGTCGTGAATGCACATTACTAATAAGTCCCATACTAGAAAGAAACGGCTAGTCAGTGTTTCCAGCTTTCTAATGGTGGTCTAACAATGATCGATTCATTATTTTAATGGAACATTCGAATGATTTCCGTTTAAGAAAAATTGTCATGCTATAAATGCTACATAAATCCATCTGCTATACATTCTACTTTCAATTACTCTATTTGATCATGTCTCAAGCTGTACATTTAATAAAAACCATTTATCAGAAGAAAAAATAACTTACATAGAGAATAGATGGAATGTGGCTTACAATGGAATCCAGGGAGTTCATTACGTCATATTTGAGACTCATCAGCTTGGTGTACTTGCAATCTCTTAGTTAATGTCTCCCACGGAACTCGAACCTAGTACAGTTTGCTTCAAAAACCGCTGAGATATTCACTCAACTAATGAGTTCGGACAACCGTCCACTTGTGGTTCGGTTTATCCTATTGTTTGAGTCTCGAAGTGAAGATCGACTATTAGATACATATATACTCAAATGATTAGTCCCAAATAAACCGAAACGTGTGCCCTGTATTCCACTGCTAATCAAATTCTATGTATTTCATATAAACGTGTTTTATAATGGCCAAATCAAGACAATTTACATAGAAAGCCCTAAGATTGATCGAATTCCAGTCAAACTATCAACCTTGGTGTGATTCAAACTGTTGGGTGTGTTAGATCCCCAGAACTCGCTTGACGAATATCTTTGTTTTGGATATATTTCATGGACCTTGACATCACATTTCCCACCAAGAAAATCCTTGGCTGTGATTGGTCACTGTGTCATTTTAGTGTGCTATTTTTGTGACTGTCCCAACGACGTCTCTAGAGAGTATAAATAAACTCAATTTGAGTGTTTGGATTCATTGTGTGTGCTGTACGGGTGTTTGTAGAATACAATTTCTTCACTATATCAAGACTTCTCGCTGGTGGAATTTGGTCAAGGGATCAGAGTAGCCTACCTTGAAGCTGGTTCATTGTTTTCTTCTCGTTATTCGACTAAGCTGAACTCGTAATAGTTTTAAGCATACCTAGAGACGAGTGTAACACAGATTATTTTCAACTGTGCATTCAATAAATTCTTGTATCTCTTCAGAAAGTTTTTGACCAAATTAATAAACATTTTTTCTGTAAAAAAAATACTTTACGGAACATAACTTTTGTATTTAAGCATTTTTTTCTCCCGTCTGATATTAATTAGGCATTTATTTAGTTAGTATGAATCATGGTAAATAAAATTAGACTGAAATTAAACTGAATTCCAATGAAAGTTTTACTTATCTCCTCCTCTCATAGTGAATATTTTTCTGTAAGTCTTAAAGAAAAAATCTATATTTAAATTCATACAACGCTGTGAATACTAATCGCCCATTAGTCGTCATTCATTCATTCATTCAATGTTTATATTTACTGTAATATATCATGGCATCACGTGACTGTTTCAAAGCATCCGGCATTGTGGTACTTGATATCCAATCGGATTGACGTTGTAATACTCCAGCATATTTTACATTTAGTGGACCAGTTTTTAAATTCGATTTAGCTAATCGACCACAAACTTCACAAAAATGACGACGACATTCTAAGCCAGTACGAGTTGTATAAAAATTCGGTATACATTGTGGGCATGTAATCGATTGGTGTAAGTCATCGATTTCACCTTGGATAAATAAAAGAAAAACAAAGGTTTTCTTTAATCAACAAAAGTTTACCAAAGTTACTCATCAAATATATTGAATAATTTATCGAATTGGTTGTTGCACCAATAGAATAGAAATGAGAAATTCTCTAAAGCTCAAAAGTAAATGATCGATACTTGCTAACACAATAAAAGAATTTTTATCGTATATAATATGCAGAAGAACTTCTTATCATGTTATGCTCCTCAACTGGTATGCTTGAAACTATTCCGAGTTCACCTTAGTCGGTACACGAAGGTGAAGACAAATGATCCAGTGATATGATAGGCTACTCTAATTCGAGCGTCCCTACGCCCCACTAAGTAGATGAAGAACTATTGATAAGACGTAGGAAGTGCATTCTATAAGCACCCAGAAAATATGAGGTTTCACAAGCACACAAATCGAGTTTATTTATACATGATAGAAACGTCCTTGAGAGAGACACATAAATAGCGTACTAAAATAATACATCGACCAATAACAGTCAGAGATTTTCCGGATAAGAAGTGTAATCTCAAGGTCAACTGATCAGCCGATGCGCTGAAACGTAAAATCCGAAATTAAGACCTATATCAAGTGAGTTCTGGGGATCGAACGTCCCCAACATATTCACACAGAGTACTAGCCGAAATCATGACATGAATACTGCTCTTGTTTAATTTTCAAACACAATGAAATGTTCGCTTTCAATGTTAGAACGTGAATGACTACAACATATTCAGTAAATTTAGTCCTGATTTACAAACAAACTTTTGCAATTTAATTGCTTTGTTCACTTTTATTAAGAATAGTTATTGTATGGATTAAGAATGATTGTGAGTCTTATTCAGTTGTTCAATTCCTATTGGTCCAAATTTAAGGTCGTCCTAAACTATCAAGTTCATATACTTTTAAATGTTGTTTTCTATTGGTTAGCATTCGCGGTCAACCTAACTGTATAAATATGAATTGTCTGTCAAGTCTTATGCTCCTCTTGTTCTTCTATACAAAACCTCATATTTCCTGAGTGCTTGTAGAATACACTTTCTACGCCATATCAGAGCTTCTTCTTTTACTTAGTGGGGGCTTGGGACGCTCGGATTAGAGTAGTCTATCGTGTCACTGGATCACTTATTTTGGCTCTCGTTTACCGACTAAAGTGAACTCGTAATACTTTCAAGCATATCAACTGACGAGCAGAACAATTTCGGAGCATAATTTATGGCAAAAACATTTCAGTATAATTAATCAATTACGAATCATAAATAAAAGAGGGAAAATTATGGAGTGTGATTCACGAACAATCATATTTCACTTCAGATGATCATTTTTATCAAATAAATTTGTCAGTGTGTAGTAATGTGATGGATACTATGTGTAACGTAATTTCTAAGTGGTATACAGAGGAGTGTCGCCGAGAATTTACTACTCGGGAGATGTCAGTCACAACGTAGAACTTGATACGTGCGTACATCAGTTCAAGTCGCCATACCACATTAGCACACACAGATTGAACTGTCAATTCAAATCCCATAGTAGCTGAGGAAGTAGAAGTAGGAATGATAATGGAGATGATTAGGGTTTCACGCTACCACTCGTGAAGTATAATCCAGTGAAATAAGTTTAAAAAAATAGAAAAGTCGGTAAAGAGGAAACAAAGAATAAATGTATCTCCGCCGCTTCAAGCGATTTTCAGCCGTATCACCCAAGGTCTCTATCCATCGGTTACTATCTTCTGGTGGACCCCAATCTGGTAGTCTACACCTATTATCATGGCTCAGTCCCATTGTCAGTGACTACATGAATTTGTGCCATGTTTTGGTCTGGCCGCCCCTAGCTTTCTTCCAACCTACTCCCACACCGCAAACTATTATTTGTCGAGGCAGTCGGTGGTTGGGCTCACGTAAAACATGTCTCAACCATCTCAACTGATGGAGGTTCACTACTTCATCAATTGATGTGCCATCCTTACCTAGCACCGGCTTCTTAACAACGGTATTGCTTACTCGATCGTCCCAAGATTAACGAGCAATGCTACGGAGACATCTATGATCGAAAACCAGTAACCTATGAATATCTTCTACTCTTACTGGCCATGTTTCTGTTGTCGGAGTGAACTGCTACACAGTCGACTCCTCCTTTGGTTAGCAGACGGATTTCTTCCCTACGCTATAATTGATGCAGGTTAGCAAAAGCCAGTAGAAACATCTGAATCCGTGCATCAAAGAGAAGAGAGTCGGATCGGAATGCGTGGTGCGAACAAAGTAGTTTAAAGATCATATAAAACATATCAAAGAAGATGGCTAGTAATCTACTCCGTTTACCAATGGAAGTCTGGAGATTAGGTCTACATGTTTCGTTGGTCAACTTTCCTCTTTATATCTTCAGTCGTTAAGTCTGATGTAATTTATTATTTTTAGTGATAATTTTAGGATTATTTTTAATTCCTTACCCACTACTGATAGAATGTGACGGACCCACAAATTGTTTGTTGAATATACTAGTGTTGTTCATTATTTACTCCTGTTGTACTTGTTCTAAAGGGCACTCTTTTGTAGATATCTCAGTGGCCAGGGAGTAATATAAAGCTTGATAAAGTGTGTTTTCACTGCCTACTAGTATACCTACCAACTTAATTTCTACGGCTGAATCCAAAAAGACTAGACATATTTTTTTCAAGAAGGGCGATACTCTAACCCTAACTAAATGACGAGAGAAACTTGATGATGTGAGTTCATCACTGATCAAGAACTTAACTTAATCTTCTCAGGAAACAGATATACACACACTATATTGGTCAAAAGTTTGACCAAATTTTTCCTTAGAGATAAATATGTATTTATAAATACTTTGTCCACATATAATCTCACCTAAGTGGCTCGCAATATTTCTTACTTACTTATCATTACGTCTACTATCCCTAATAGAGCATAGGCCATCGACAGTGAAGATAATGTTCATTTTTCATAATACTGTTGTTCTTCCAGCTTTTTCGATTATCGTTTTAAAGTTATTGACATTGTGTCGAAACGTTCGCTTATATTCTTGTCGAAGTCAGTTGGTTATATTCAACGTAGAACCTGGCAAATATATGCCTCGATTTAAGTTTTAAAAGTCACATTAACACAGGAAAATAAAAATATCAATAAAAATCTCAACGTAGTAGAAGTAATAAGTAAAGCACCCAACTGTGTCAAATGACAAGCTCTCATTTGGAATCCTGAAGACCAAAGAACACGTTACGCTGAGTGGTAAAGACAAGGCATGAAAAGAATGAACAGCAATTGAGAAGCCATGAAAAAGAAGGCGCAGGACACAGAATAAGTTGGAGAATGCCAGTCAGTGGCCCATGCTCCCTTAGGACGTAACAGGCGTAAGTAAGTAATGTTTGTTTGTGGGGAAAACTAATACTTTAATTTTAAACTGTTTATTCTTCAGTGTTTCATCCTTTTATCAATAATAGAAATATACTGAATGTATGTACTTCACTGTAGTTAAATCTTTTGGCTCACAATTGCTAATAAGACGATTCATGTTTGTGTAATTCACTTCGAACTTATTCTATGTAGTTGACGAAATCCCATGTAGGGTGAGTTTAAATTTTCCCTTCTTCAGTTTATTTTGTTTACTAAAGAATCTCATCCAGCTTAATTATTGAAATTCCTCTTTGCCATACCTATACCTTATACAGTTTATTTTGAAAAGATTTATATTACTTCTAAAGTCGGAATTAATTCGTTCAACTACATACGTCTATAGTATTATAATAAACTCGTTCATACTGCCATAAGGTTAACTTAGAAGACAAAAAACGCCATCATCCACAAGAGACAAGTATTTAATAACGATTGTATACACAAGATACTACGGATCTTTGGCCAGACTCAGTCATGTTGGTATATGTAGACTATCTGGTTGGGGTCCGCGAGACGAAAGTCACCAATCGTTAGAGACCTTGAACGACATGGCTCAAAATCGTTTGTAATGGCGCAAGTGCATCCATTTGTTGAGCTCTCTCAAATCCTAATCTTCTGGATTCGTCAGCACCTCTAGTTTTGACTTTCTAACCTTATCTCACTGAATCATACTTCATGAATAATATCCTCATACCCTAGTCTTCTTCATTACCATTAAAACCTCTACTATCTTTATCACTATGGGATTTGATTTGACATTTGCGTCTCTGTGATAATGTGGTATGGCAACATGAACTTATGTACATACGTACAAAGTTCTACGTTGCAACTGACTGACCAGACTCAATTATCAACAACCTACTGTCGGAAAAAACAAATCCGACTCCAATGGAGGAAGAAATAAGGAAGGAGCGATGAAAGTAGATAGGACACACAGTGCGAAAATCACCTAACTGCGTAATAATCCAAGATGAAACCCGGAATCCACAAAACCAAAAGAAAAGGGGAACACTAACATAAACATTGTGCATCGAACCAGAACCAGTCATCAAAAACAGCCACTAGGAAGGAGAGTGAAGGATAGAGTAGGCTGGAGAATACTGGTCAAAAGCCTATGCTGCACAAGAGATAAAAGGCTCAAATAAGTTTCCACACAGTTTAGTCAATTTTTTCGGGACTTAAATGATAACTAAATTATCAAACTTCAGAGAATTTAAATAAAACTATTATAACTATTTATAAGATAAACTTACCATCTGTTAAATACGCCACATAAGGTTCATTTGCATTCACTGGATTTTTTGTCATTTTCAAAAAAAATTTCAAATAATCTTAATTTTTTTATTAACAATTTTTCTTTAACTACTACTCCTTTACTATCAGTGCTAAGCAACGATAAAGCAATCGTCATCAGCGAACCAATCACAATTATTGTTAGTATGTTTAAAGAAAAACTATCGATGTGAATATATATTGACCTTGAGGAGACCAATCAGAATTCAGATATTACATCGTTGAATTTTTTGCTCAAATTCAAAAGCAGTGAAAGATAACTAACTTGTTAATTAATTATCACGAATTAAGTGAAAAATTGACAATATTTGGTTTGTAAAATGTTTGATATCATTAAAAAATATCTATTACGCAACCAAATAGTGAATTGAATTTGAATATGCCAGTTACCTCTAATGGAGCATTGGCCGCCGACTAGTATTCCCCAACCTACTCCCTTCCCTTTCCAGTTCTTTCCAATTTTTGTCCATTCTTCTCATGTCTGCCTCCGATTCTCGATGCAATGTATTCCTTGGTCATCCTCTTCTCCTTTGGCCTTGAGGATTCTAAGTGAGGACTTGTCTTGTGAAACAGTTGGGTAGTTTCATCAGTGTGTGTCCTATCCACTTCCACTGCTTCTTCTTGATTTCTTCCTCAGCTGGAGTCTGTTTCTCTCTCTCCCACAGTAGGTTGTTGTTGATTGTGTCTGGTAAACGGATACCCATTATCTTGCATAGACAACTGTTAATAGACACTTGCATTTTCTGGATGATGGCTTTCATGGTTCCCCAAGTTTCTAACCCATATTGTAAAACTGTCTTGATATTCGTATTGAAAATCCCGATTTCGGTGTTTTTTGACAGTTGTTTTGAGTACCAGATGTTCTTCAACTGTAAAACTGCAGCCCTTGCTTTGCCGATCCGCGCCCTCACATCTACATCCGATCAACATTGATTGTCAATGATGCTGCCTAGATATGTAAAGGCGTTTAACGTCCTCCAAGACATTTCCATCAAGACTGATTTGGTTGGCGCTTGTTGTATTGCATTGCAGAATCTTACTTTCCCTTTATGTATGCTGAGACCTGCTGCTACACTGGCCATCTTCTCCTGCATTTGTTGTTGCATGTGTGATAGAAAAGCCAGATAATCTGCGAAGTCTAGATTATCCAGCTGCGTCCTAGTTGTTCAGTGTATACCGTGCTTCCCCCCAGATGTTAACGTCTTCATAATGCAGCCGATCATCAGGAGAAAGAGAATACGACGTGATAATTCAAATAAGTTAAGAAAAGTACCTGCTCCTGACAAAGATTGTATGTTATAGTATTTGATGTGATCTAATAAATAGATAGTTGAAGGTGTATGTGTAGTTAGCTAATAATCTCTTAAATCTCTAGATCTCATTCCTAACTTTCTTAAACAAATCGGTGGCAAACCCTTATTACTTTAACTCATAACTTCAACTTAACCCCTAACTTCAGTTGTTCGTATTTTAGATGATGTATGCTGGTAACGAAAATTCCATAAAATTCATTCTAACGCTAACGTACAAAGCAAACTTGACATTCTAATATGTAAATTATTTTTTCTGTTCATTGAACTCATGAACTGATCAATTTTAGACCACCATTAGAAATATGGTGTGGTTTAGTAGGATAAATACCACAGCAGTAGTATTGTGGTGCGCGCTACTTATAAGTAGTATATGACGTGAGCGTCAACGTAATGTCTGGCAGCAGAAGATAGGGGAAGATCAAGAAAGGAAGAGTGGGAACACAATGGAATTTCTATGAAACGCATGAATAGTGAAATGTCAGACAGTGGATTGATGATGGATTGAAGATTTGCAAATTAACGGTTTACGATTTGGGTTTTCCTATTTTACTGAGTAACTCTGTAATTTTCGTTAAAGACAATTCTGTTGCCCCACCTGTGTTCTCCTTCACTAAAATGGAAGCGCTGGATGGCCGTTTCCTCCCTGGTATGGAACACATACGCAATGCCAATGCACGACTCGGTAAGCAGTAACTTAGGTTTTGCGTACAAACCCCTAACCTCTAGACCACTGAGTCAGCATCCGACAATATTACGATCTTTTTTCTGATAATGTGATGAACGATTCAACATTTAAGGGTTAAGTAATCATATCGACATTATTATTCCACTGTTATCTTATTGCTTCTCATTGTTAATTGCTTCACAGCTAAAATCCGCATCTCGACTGACTATTAAAAATCGATCAAGGTCGTCAGTATAGTATACTTTTACCAAAATATCTTACGACATTATCACGTGATTAGTTGATTGTAAAATACACAAGAGTACTAAGTTCATTTTGCTATCATACGTTGTGAATATTTTCAAATTAAACACTTCACTAAATCATTTTATTGAATCTAATAGTCGATCCTAAGTACTGTAGATAAGAATTTTCATTTATATGATTCCTTAATTGACAAGTTATCTGAAAAATATCAAATACTAACCATAAAGAAGCAACTATTGACATCCAAATAGTACTTGACAACTGTTTTATTCTAATATAAACTCCAATATAACGAATCCATGACTGTCTCAACAAAGGATCAAAACCTGAACTTTTGGATCTCGTGAAAAACACTCAATCCTAAATCACTCAAACATGATGAGGGATGATAGTAGCCTTGTTATTTTTAAATAAATTAATCAGTTTGTAGTGAACGAGAACACAGGTCAGGGCAACCGAATTGTATTTAACGAAAATTACAGAGTTACTCAGTAAAATAGGAAAACCATATTGTAAACGGTTAATTTGCAAATCTTCAATCCATTGTCTGACATTGCCACTATTCATGCGTTTCATACAAATTCCATTGTGTTCCCACTCTTCTTCCTTTCTTGATCTTCCCCCATTTTCAGCTGCCAGACATTACGTTTACACTCGCGTCATATACTACTTATAAGTAGCGCGCACCACAAGTTGGTATGCCAAATTTTTATTTCGATCAATAAGTGTGAATCAACCAATAATAGTTGAGTTGAACACTCGACACTTTAAGATTCATTCATTCATTAAATCCCAAACTTATTTTATTAATCCGACCTGTTTTATTTATCTATTCATTATGAAAATGAACCAGTAATATGAATACAGTTAACTATTTTTTTATTGATTAATTTTATTGTATCCTAGCTGTTGTACAACAGATATACATTTATTGTTCCTTTATTATTTTGCATTTTTTTATGTTAATTTTATTCATTTATAATTTTGGTTACAATTATTGGCTATAAAATGAATCATTACTTATTTTTAGCAAGAACAAGAAAAATCATGGATCGGTCAATATTATACTATCATTAGAAACCTAGAAGCACTCTAGATGGCCATTTCTTCCTAGGTTGAGAATCACAAGCGGGAATCGAACTGTTACGTTCGTCACTAGGTATGCTTGAAGCTATTACGAGTTCACCTTAGTCGATAAAATGCGAACGAGACAGTGACCAGCATCCAGGTAGGCTACTACCTTGAATCCCAACTGCAAAGCAGAAGTCTTAATAAGCGTAGAAAGTATATTCTACTACACCCAGTAATCGCAATGCAATCAAGCATACAACTCTCGTTTATTTATACATCATAGAAACGTCATTGGGACAGTCACAAAAATAGCACACTAAAATACACAGCAGCCAATCACAGCTGAAGATTTTCCTGGTGGGAAATGAAATCTCACGGTCAACTGATCAACCCATGCTCGCGAACGTAAATCCAAGATAAGGCACTTATCAAGCGAGTTCTGCGGATCTAATATCCCCAATACGAACGCACGATCTTTTATCTCGCGCGCAAACGCAAAACTAGTGAGCCGGCATTAAACAGTGTTAATGTTTAACATCAATCAATCGATTCATGATTTCAATGAGACTGAACCATCTATACGTCCCTACAAAATGATAATTACTTTGAACTCACTAAAGACTAGCTTCGTAAAGAATTTCTCAGAGTTCTAGTGAGAAACTGAGACCAGCAGAGTTCAAACGTGTCACGTTTTATACAGTTACCTACTGAAGACTGGATGAAATCCAACGATATCATTTGTCAATTAAATTTAAACATGAATACCATTCAATGCAAGCCCAGTGATCTAGGATTTAAGGGTTTGCGCTCAAGACAGAAGCTCCTCGGTTCGAAACATTGCTCGTGTATCCTGGGAGAAGCGAGTAAGCAATGCTATAGTTAGGAATCGAGTTCTAGGTAAGGATGGCAGATCAATCGATGAGTTAGTGAAACTTCATCAGTTAAGGTGGTGAAAACATGTGTTACGAACGCCCAACCACCGACTGCCGCGACGAGCTATGTTTCCTGATGTAGAAGTAGGTTGGAAGAAAGTTAGGGGCGGCCAGACCAAAACATGGCAGAAATCCATGAAGTCACTGACAAGTGGAATGAGTCATGTTGGTAGATGTAGGCTACTTCGTTGGGGTCCGCGAGACGAAAGTCACCGATGAATAGAGACCTTGAACGACATGACTCAAAATCGTTTTCAATGGCGAAGGTGCATCCACCCGTAGTGTTCTCGTAAATCCTAATCCTCCGAATTGCTCATCAAATCTTTCTTCTTCTAAAGTTATCTCATTGAATTATACTTCTCGAATCATATCTTCGAACTATAATCTTCTCCATTACTTCGAAAACTTCTACTACCTATACCACTAAGGGATTAGAATTGATAATTGCGTCTCTGCGCTGATGCGGTATAGCAACCTGAACTTATGTACTTACTTACAAAGTTCTACGTTGTAATTGACTGACTGAATGACCTCAGTTCAATCCCCCTCTCATGAAATTGTGGATGAGTACTGCTTTGGAGACCCATACTAAGACGAAATAGCAGTCCAGTGCTTCCGAGTTTCCATCACTAATCTAACAATGCTATCAGTTCACAGGTTTCAATATCCCATCCCTCCAATGAAAATTTCATTCGATCAAATGATTAATTGACATTTGAATATTTGATTATAAACAAACATTTGACTTGTCGAAATAATTATTTCTCAATTGGAATGTTACATAATAACAATAATAATAATAATAATAATAATATCAAAAACATTTAAAAATTCCTGATCAATCAAGCCACTCTTATCAACCAGTAGTAAACAGCCAATGAAAAAATACCAAGAAAGAAAAAAATGTTAAAATCAATCATGCACAAAAACGTTCAAGCACCACATATAAATAATAATGCATGTATGTGTGTGCTCGCGAATTCTCCTCATTCAAAATTAGAAAAACAAACAGACGAATACACATACATATGCAGCTAATGTAAACTCTGTTTGATTGATTGATTGATAACTGAAATATAGAAATTAAATATACAAAATATAAACATTTTTACATACATTCAAAAGTAATACTGTCAACAGTAGTAATAACAATGATAATCATAGTAACGTCATTTATTGTCTGTCTGTCTGTGTGTACATGTGTATACGCGTTGTCCATCTCGGAAGACATAAATAGGGGCCCAGCATTATTGGCAAGGAAGAAAGCCCAGGATAGATAGAGTTGATTAGGGAATTCTAGTCGACAGATGCCCTATATTCCCAAATTATCCAAATCGTTCTTTAACAATAGCTAAAGCATTTGTACCGATGATGTCAATTTCTCGATATTCTGTATGTTCATCAATAATTGGTTGATGATGAGTTGTGCTGTTATTATTATTTTTACTACTTATAGTAGTAATAGTAGTAGTATTAGCAATGTTAGCATTATGACAAGGAATTAATAATAAAGTTTTATCTGATTTTGAATATGAATCTAACAGATGCGAAGATTGAAGAGGATTGATATAAGTAGTATTGTTAGTAGTAGTGGTAGTAGTAGTAGTAGACATCGAAGCAGTGGACGGCATAGAATAAGGATGACTCAATGATGTTTGTTGTGGTGAACAAACACATGTTACATCAGTTGTAGATGTACTAAATGAAACATCCGACTTTGGTGTTGTTGTTACTGTAACAGGTAAACTGGATCCAGTTTTCAATAACAATGATGACGATGATGTTACTGTAGTCATTGTCATTGGCCGAGTAGATGCCAACGCATTGCTACCAACATCATCGTTATTGCCTAATTGTTGTTCATGTGAACAAGGGACAGTGCGTAAATCCAAATTATATGGTTCAATATAATTCAAATGAGAGATTTTATGTGCAGGAATTGTACATTTTGTTGAGGTATCAATAGGATTATGATTATTGAGATTGGGCTTAAAAATAAAAAAACAGGAGAAAAAAATAAAATAAAATATCATTTAAGATTATGTGAACACGTTGTGACAAGTAACAGAGTGTTTTCAGCAACACAGCTATCATAACAAGGGCTATGTGAGACAATCTAGTCACTGATGTTTAAAGACTTTGATTGACATGGCGCGAAATCGTTTGCAATGACTCATTTGCATCTATTCTTTGTGTTCTTTCAAATTCTAATCTTCTGAATTACTCATCGACTTCATCTTTCACTCTGTGTATTTATCTCCCTAGATTATACCTTCTTGAATAATATCTGTTAGGATATTTATCCAATAATATCCTAAGAGAATTATTGGTCAATTCCTATTGGTCGAAATTATGGTCCTCTTAACTGTCAATGCCACAGAATTCGATGCTGTTTCCTATTCGACAAAAAATTTGTGAATACGCATTATGTGTAACGTTTTATGACCACGACCAGAACCATGGCTCGGTCCCGGATCCCTAGTCCGGGATCGTGATTCTCTTCTGGATTCGGACAATCGCATTTTTGCGCGCTAACGTGGTATGCCAACTTGAATTGATGTACGTACGTACGAAGTTCTACATTGTAGCTGACTGACTGACCTTTATTAAAACATAAAAGTTTACTACTAATCGAAATGATAGTGAAATTTTCATTCTTGTTTTGTCAACAGTCGTGAATTCCTCGGGGAAATGGTCCAAGAAATCAATGTAAGCTGATTACTACTCAACTGAATTCTCTGAGTTACTGTTGATTTAATCAAAAACTATGATTATCAAGTAAGATTAATTTTCAACAAATTTCAGATTGTTCAGTAGGAATGAAAAGGAGAGCATAGTTCATTGATGCGTTGATGTCTGAAACAATCTATGAGTGTTATACTGATATATGACACAAAATGTACGGTGGGCCTTTAAGTGGCACCCAAATGACCTTGAGAAGACTCGCGCACTTACTACGGTGTCTGAAGAGAGATACAAATTAGTGTGAGGAATGTTAGGATATTCACCAAATATCCTAAGAGTACTATTTTTGGAAGTAGAATCCTAGTGGTTGATTTCTATTGGTCAAAATTATGATCGTTTTAACTACTGTCAAAGTCAAATACTTCAATCTTGTCTCTGATTGGTCATCTGGACTGTCAATGTCATTTCAAATGTTCTTTCCTATTGGTCGTCCTAAACTGTCAATGTCACAGACTTTGATGCTGTTTCCTACTCGACCTTACTGTATAAATACGCACTATCTGTAAGCCTTCATGATTCCGATTCCGGTTCCGTTTCTTCCTGCCGACCTCTCTTCTGTACTCTACTCATTAAACAACTCCATCCCACGGTGTTGCGTTCTGATATATAGTAGATTTGGGAATAGTATTTGGGTCGTATTGGGATATTTGAATTGAACGCCGCCAGGACTGAATAGCTATACGTAGCAGCATTATAACTAGGAATTAGAGTTTGTGTTTTTAACGCGACCTGACATCATTTCTAATGCTCAAACAGGCTATGTAATCATATACATGACTAAATTTCACACCATCGTCCAAGACCAAGTTATCTTCCATTCGATTGGTTAGTCCAAAAATTCTAGTCTCTTCAATAAACGTTATCTACAAAGGTAGTATCTACACATAAATGTCTACCAAAAAACATACATAAACAAATAAATCAAACACACTCACATGATTTTTATCAATCGGATTGATATGACAATGATGATCGAATGTGTTGTGCATTCTATTCTCCTTGTCATCTTCATTGATCGCCGCGGCCGACTTATTCACAAATTGATGATTACGATGGTCAGCATCGTGATTATTATTATTATCAGGATCATTATTATTATTATTATTGTTATTCAGATTAGATGTATTATTAGGAATGGAGATATTCATATCACTGCAAGTAGTAGTATTACTACTACTACTACTATTACTATTACTATTACTGCTATTACTATTTAAACTACTATCTACAGACATAGTTGAAGCTTTGGCACGAATTGGTAATGGTGATTCCAAACTGATATGGCATAAGTGTGGTTGTGTGAGCGGGTGTCCATGCAAAGAGGGAAAAAGAAAATCATAAAAAAAAACATGATACTACTTTACAAAGTTATAATGCATACTACTCTACTAATTATAAGCCTTAGTGTAAATAGCAGACACCACACAGTATCATAGTAGCCGGTGACTAACAATAGATTCATATATCGTTTGGTCAATCAGAATCATGCAGATCATGGGTACCACTGATTGGAAAGCAAGGTTTTCTCAACTCTAAAGATAGATACTCTATACCGACCAACCTGTTTAAAGAGCCAGAAACTCGTTTATCGTTGTCTCGATTTGACAAAAACAAACAGTCAGGCCACGACAAAGAGATAAGTAGGACTTCACTGGCAGTGGCTATCTAGAGGCAGGATAGACTCCCTAAATCCTGGTTGGTGCCAGGCCATTTAGGAGCACATTATTCGGTAGCCGAATAATAGATTGTCTCTTTTTTTCCTGCGTTTTCTATCAAGTAGCCGATTTTGGTTGGGGGTTAGCACAAATCGAGGTCAGATTTCGGACAGTTATAACATGTTGAAACAGTATATCGAACTACATAAATTTTCACTAAATAGATTGTAGAGTTAGACATTAACACCGTAGGACGCCAACTCAGAAGTCTACAGGTTAATCATTTATACACGAAACGGAAGGTGCTCGGTTTGATTTCCATTCGCAGGGATAGCAGATACACAGTGCTGATGAGTCACATACTATAACGAGATGACCCCTAAGTGCTTCCAGGTTTCTAATGATGCTCTAAAAATGATCGACTCATGATTTCAATGACAGCCAACGATCTTCACAACTTTACAATGAAAATCCATTTTAGTATTGATGTCCGAAGAAGATCGTTTTATCGACTGATCAGGGTGAATTTTTGGATTATTAATTACGTTTACCTTCGATATGATCATAAATAATTCACGAGACGAAGTTTTATTACGTACAGTTTATTTCAAGCACATTTAATTCTCAAGCAAGGCGATTAGACATATAATCCGATGAACATGTGATAGCATATATGAATGAAAGTCAAGTACACATAATTGCACACAAAAAAGACTGTACTAACTAAACCAAAAGTACTTCTCTATAACTAAATTTAATACGACAATGTTGTCGGACAAGCGCACACACATGCGTGTCTATAATTGCATTAGTTTACACAAACAAGAGTTTACGAAATCAGCTTAAAGCAACTAAGAGATGAATTTCTAGCTAACAGGTTATTTTGTCTGTAAATCGGTAATAAAAAAACAAGGACTTATGGAATTAAAAAGATATTTGAGAATCCTCATAGTCAAGGATAGATATGTAGAACGTAAATGTTAGTGGTAGTCTGAAGTCGTGGTCTTAACTATAAACTAACATTAACTATGATGTAAAATGATTATGTAGCTGCTTGTTTTCGATCATAGGTGTCTCCGAAGCATTGCTCGTGTATCATGAGACGACCAAGTAAGCAATGCTATTGTTAAGAAACAGGTCCTAAGTAAGGATAGTAGATTAATAGATGAAGTATTGAGACTTCATCAATTGAGGTTATTGGGACATGTGTTACGTATGCCTAACTACCGACTGTCTCGGCGAGCTATGTTTTGCGATGTAGGTTGGAAAAAAGCTAAACCAAAACATGACACGAATCCATGAAGTCACTGACAAGTGGGCTGAGCTATGTTAGTAGATGTAGACTACCTGGTTGGGGTTGCACGAGATGATAATAATCGATGGTTAGAGACCTTGGACGACATGGCTCAAAATCGTTTGCAATGGCACAGGTGCATCCACTCTTTGTTTCCTCTCTAATTCTAAGCTTCTGAATTCCTTATAATCTCTATCTTTCTCCTTCTAAATTTATCTTACTGAATTATACTTCTCGAATCATATCTTCGCTCCCTAATCTTTTCTATTACTGCTAATACTTCTATTATTGCTATCACTCTTGGATTTGAACTTAGAGTTGCGTCTCTGTGCTAATGTGGTATGGCAACTTGAACTGATGTACGTACGTACGTACGTACGAAGTTCTACGTCGCTGTTGATCGATTGATTAAGTAGCCATATAAATGAATGAATTTTAGTTATAACTACAAAAAAGGCTATCTGATTAATTTATCCAACCACCTTTAATTTCAGAATCGAGGGTTTACGCTCAGAATTGAGAGATAGAATTTTAATCGCCTACTATACTATAGAAAATTAGGCACTTGGTGCGCTAAAGATTAATGTTTGAAAAGCAAACAAAAGTCATTTAACTGTTTATCATAGACGATAATTGATTTTGGCGCAAAGACCAAAAAAGTTGCGTTCTCGATTCTGATTGGTGGGGTTGGTCTACAACTATTTATAACAATTTTTAATTTTCGACAATCGACTAAGAAACATCTAGATTACAGGTTAGAACATGTTCAACTATCAATAAACATTGACAGTCATTAAGAATTAGACAGAATAGAAAAATCAATGAAACTTTTTGACAATATTAATTTAAAACAAGTGAAGTGAATTTACAATCTAATTGTCAGTCAGTCAATCAAAAAACAGTAAGAGATCGGTGTGAAACAGGAGCCTTCACTGAACTATCCGTTTAGCATAAATACTACTCTTCATCTGAGAATGGGAGAGCCCCCTCGCTTTTAGTCACTGTCGAGAAATTCCTGCTCACTGTATTCCGATGGCGGAGGTGCTGCCTACGAAGTTGAGAAGATGATAAGCGAGTTTCTGGCGCTTTACACCTGATTACAAACCAATGTTGTACATGGGCTCCAGGATCTTCATACGGTCACGCATATATGGCAAATGCCATGGATGTGCTACTTACTGACTTCTTGTAGAGAGTCGTGTTGATGAATATATGACGATAAGCGAACATCCTGTTCTTAAACAAGATTAGTGAGTGGAGGAGGATTCACTCCAAACCAGTAGTGGTGCACACAGGCTCCAGAATCCTGACACAATGAGTAGCACATGAAATTATTGTTGGTCACCAACTAACATGAGATCTCATCACCCTACATTTCTCCACTGCATTGTAGATAAGAGCTTAGGTTAAAAACCCAAGGTGTGGTGCCCTAATTAAATCCTCGGCTTTGGTTTTGGTACCCGGACAATGTTTCTAAGCCTACTCACAAATTCAATCCGTTGTGCGCTCTCATACCAACCAACTCACTTGGAAATAGTCATAATTTTGAATTCTTTATGTTTTAGCGCATAAGTTGCCTAGTTGACCTTGGAGCTTAGATTCCCCACTCGTAAAATCCTTGACTGTCCGCGGTTAATTGATTATTTTAGTACGCTATTTTGTGGCTCTCTCAAGAACGTTTTAATCATCCATAAATAAGCTCAATTTGTGCGCATGTAGACCTCGAATTCTTTCTACGCCTTATAAAGACTTCTTGATATAGTTAGCCGGTCCGGGAACAAACGGATTAGAATAGCCTATCGTGTCACTGCATCAATTGTCTTGGCTATGTTGACCGAGTAAAGTGAACTCATAATAGTTCAAGCATATCAACTGACCAGCATATCATATATGTATTTCAATAAAGCTTTTCATCCAGTTTATTCTTATTTATTTGGCAACGAATTTATGTAAATATTTTTATCATGAATCATCGTATTAATTAGGCAAAATAACAGAACAATTAAGATTCAACAATCCCATATTGTTTCGCTTTGCCTTATAACCCATTCAAGAAATATTTGGATATATATTTATGTGTAGGCTGTTTGACATAATCTAAAAAATGACTAGTGTTGCAGATATGTGAATTTTCTTTTCAAAAAAATTGAATTTCATGTGATTACATACCTAACTACATTCTCATCACTTCAAACTGTTTTTGGAAATGGAAAAATATTTTGGCATAATTATCTTTTGTGTTAAGTTTATCCTCCTTTCACCATATCGAATGGGATCGTAACCCTATCCCCCAACCCGCCTCCTTTATCTAGACTTCAGACTAGCAATAGCCCCAGAGGGGCTCCAGGAGGAGTTATCAAAATGAATACAAAATGAAATTATGAGGATGGTTGAATTTTATTGAAATCTATTGAACATATGACAGTGTTAGATGACTATTTCATTCTAGTATGAGACTCTTGATTAGTGGGGAGTATAATTCCGAACCTGGAAATCGACTCAAGACTTTTGGGTTTTGCATAAGAATGTTTAACCTCAACGTCACTGAGCCAGGCGCATTCAATAAATATCAATCGATTCGTAATTCTAATAAAATCGAATTATGTCTGTACAACCCACCACCCCCCCCCCATACTGTTAATTATCACGTGCATTCTAACCACTTCTGTCGAGAGGAAATTCTCGACGTTCAAGTGAGAAGCTGTGACCAGTAGAGTTCAACTGTGTCGGATATGGAGAAGATATCAAACGAGTACAATGGAAGATGCTCTCAAATTATCATCTTGGATTGAATGAAGTTAGACTTGTATACCATTGATTCCTGGGTCAGTAGTATAAAGATTAAACGTCCACTTCGGGACGTATAGATCAAGGGTTCGATTCCCAGTGTGAGGTTGTAGACGTGAACTAGACATGAACTCATACCAGAAGGAGACAGTTGTCCAGTAGTACTCCGAGTGAAATCAATCCATTGTTGAAAATCATCAACCAGATTTATTTCATGAATAGGATGGAGATTTGTACCTTCGGAGCAAAAGCGAAGGTATCGTAATTTTAAAACAGAATCTAAGAGAAATTATAACATCTTTATACTCAGTCCGTCAGCCAATTACAACGCAGAACTTCGTACATACATACATCAGTTCATGTCGCCATACAACATGAACACAGAGACGCAATTGTTAATTCAAATCTCATAGTATTAGAGATGGTAGAAGTATTAGCGGTAGTGAAGAAGTTTAGGGTTCGAAGATATTATTCAGGAAGTATAATCCAGTGAAACAAAGTTAGAAAGAGAACGATAAAGATGATGAAGAATTCAGGAGATAAGAATTTGAGAGAATACAAACAAGGGATTTTGAGCCATGTCGTTCAAGGTCTCAATCCATCGGTGACTTTCGTCTCGCGGACCCCACCCACGTAGCCTATATCTACCGACATGACTCAGTCCACTTGTCAATGGCTTCATGGATTTCTTCCATGTTTTGTTTTGGCCACCTCTAGCTTTCTTCCAACCTATTCCTACACCACAAAACATAGCTCATAACACATATCTCAACCACCTCAACCGAAGTTTCAATATTTCGTCTGTTAATTTGCCAGCCCTACCTAGTACTCGTTTCCTAACGATACCACTGTTCAATCGGGTGTCCCAGGATATACGAGCAGTGCTTCGAAGACATCTATAATCGAATACTAATAACCTATGAATATCCTCAACTCGTACTGGCCATGTTTCACTGCCATGAAGTACGACGGTGCGAACTGCTGCGCAGTAGCAAACAAATAATCTTGCCTACAACGTAAATGATGCAAGTTGGCAAAAGTCAATCGTCACTTTATAACAAAAGAAGACAAATCCTTATTCGCTGAATACGTCAAAAAAAACCACCAAGTATTTTTTAGAAAATAAAAACACACACAACCTACTTTAATCCTGATAAAACATTAGTTGAATTCATTGTGAATGACGAAGGCAACGTAGATGATGATGCTAATTTTAAAGGTGATGACATACGTGGTGGAGGTGCAGGTTTATGACTTTTGGCTGCTGTTGTTGTTGTTGCTGCTGATGTTGTCCCTATTCCCATTTTTGTTAATAATAAACATTGATGATGATTGGATTTTTGATCATACAATGATGATGGATGATGAAGTAGTGGAGAGTTAGAAAGTGTTTTAATACTACTACTATTACTATTACTATTATTCATATTATTATTCCCTAGCATACAATGACTTTTACGATAAATTCTTGTATTCTGTGCAATTACATGATTAGTTCGTTTTGATGATGCATAGATTTCTGAGTCCATGATTGAATCGCTAGCAGTAGTAGTAGTTGTTGTAGTAGTAGTTGTGGTAGTAGTAATAACTGGAAATAAAAAAATTCATGAGTTTTTTTTAAAAAATTAATCGTTTAAATTACACGTTATAAAGTGGAATTTCATATTGTCATAATGCTGCTACGTATAGCTATTCAATCGTAGCGGCGTCCAAATTCAAAGATCCCAATACGACCCAAAATGCTATTTCCAAATCTCCTATATATCAGAACACAACACCGTTGGATATAGTTGTTTATCGGGTCGAGTACAAACGAGAGGTAGGCAGGAAGAAAAGGAATCGGAATCGGAATCATGGAGGCTTACAGATAGTGCGTATTTATACATTAAGGTCGAATAGGAAACAGCATCAAAGTCTGTGACATTGACAATTTAGGACGACCAATAGAAAAGAACATTTGAAATGACATTGACAGTCCGGATGACCAATAAGAGACAACATTGAAGTATTTGACTTTGACAGTAGTTAAAACGATCATAATTTTGACCAATAGGATTATACTTCTAAAAATAGTACTCTTAGGATATTTGGTGAATATCGTAACACATATTAAAGAAATAGCTTTAACTATTGCAATCAAAAACTTGTACACTAGTAAAACCGATATTCTAGGTCATTTTACTGATTCTATTGGTTTCAACACGTGAAAAACGGTACAAAAAGGCAAATAAATAATTATTCGTCACACAACAAATTCAATTTGTGCACGAGGTTAGATACTGTCCCGGTGCGAAAACCAAAGCACATGGTTTTGTAAAGGGATTCATGTCCTGAGTCTTCGACACAAAGGTCTAATCCATAACGGAGTGAAGCAATAATCTACGGAGAAGAGATCTCCTGCTAGTCGGTGACCAACAATAAATTCATACGCGAATCATTCAGTCCGGAACCTATGTGCAACGATGGGTTGGAATCACGGTTTTCCGACTCTTCCAGGTGGATACTCCATACCCACCAAACTGATTAAAATGCCAGACATTCGCTTATCATTGTCTTGATTTCATAAACAGCACTACCGCCATCGGAATACAGTGAGAAGGACTTTCCTGGCATCAGCTATATACACGTGGCCATATGAAAGCATTTAGAGAGCAAAAGAGGACTTCTGGCGGTACCAGAGCATTTGGGGGCCAAAATATTGTCGCCTCCAAGTGGGCTCAACCCACCAACCTTCCGGTTCACAACCGGATTAGTGCACAAAATGGAAAGCTTCTCTTCTGAAAATGTTTACAATACTATAGGGTAATCTAAAATACCATAAACTAAAACTCAAAACGACTGTCAACCAACACCAAAATCAGAATTTCCGACCGATACAAATGTCAAGACAGCTTTCTATCCTATCAGGCGAAAACTTGGAGAACTACAAAAGATACAGGTACTTTTACCGGCTGTTTACGCAAGATACTGAGAATCCATTAGCCATACATTATCAGCAACAACCAACTGTACGAGAGAGAACAAGCCAGATTCTAGAGGAAAAAGAAATGAGGAAGAAGCGGTGGCAGTGGATAGGACACTCATTGAGGAAAGAACTAAGCTGCGTCACAAGACAAGCCCTTAGCTGGCATACTCAAGGTCGAAGAAAAAGAAGAAGAGCAAAGAACACATTACGCCAAAAAATGAACAAAAATTGGACAGAACTGGAAAGGAAGGTCCAGGACAGAGTAGGCTGGAGAATGCTGGTCGGCGGCCTATGCTCCATTGGGGGGTAAAAGGCTTAAGTAAGTAAGTAAGTAAGTGATTCGTTGTATAGTAAACGCTTAATCACTGTCGGTTACAGCATAAAAAATGTTTCTTTTGAAAGTAATATTAACACAGCAATCAAAATAATTAAAACCGATAACTCCACACTAACCTTTTGATCCATCTTCAGAATCCCATACATTATAATAGACACTATTTGAAGAATTTTGACGTTTTAAAGAGTTTTTAGACGAAGTACTAACAGTATTACTGTTTACATGATGATATTTACTTCTCTGATTAGTCAAATTATCTAAAGAGAAAAAATAATACATAAATCATGTCATATTATCGATCATTATTAGGAAAAATAAAACAAAACATACAACTCAATGAAAATCAATCAAGTTACTACTTCTTCTTTCATTAAAAAGTAAAAAAAGGAAAATAGAAACTACCAAAGACAAATGAGTGAGGTCGCGCAAAATCCGTAGATCAATCAGAGTTAGACATTAACACAGTTGGATGCCGGCCCAGTGGTCCGATGGCAAGGCGTTCGCCTACAATGCCAAAGGTCCCGGGTTCGAATCCTACGAGGTGCAGGAGTAGTGGATGCACACTGTCACTGATGAGTCCCATACCAGGCCGTCCAGTGCTTCCAGGTTTCTAATGGTGGTCTAACAATGATTGATTGATGATTTCAAATGTGTAAAAACGCAAACCTCCAAAACTCTGTCCCGAAAATAGAAACAATTCTATGGACAAGGTAAAAAAAAGATATTTCTAGCTTCTATACTACTTAAAACCACCAGTAAACTGTTGTTGAGAACTAGAATAACATTGGTTGTTCTGTAATCCGACCTGTTTCTTATTTAGTCCCTAATGTTTGATGAATAGACACTTCATAGAATAAGAAATAAGAATGTTTGAGTAGCTTTATTGTAAGAGAAGGGTTAGTCGTTGAGATAAGAGAGATATTAGGGGGTGTGGGAAGCATTTGATTGTGACCTATTCGATCTCATGTGCTGCTACGGGTACGGGGGCGTGATGTCACTTCCTGGTTGCTCACACCGCGAGTGTTTCTTAAGGAACCTGAAAAGCAAGGTATATTAGCGTTGGTATTAGAGAAGTGAGAGCGTGACCACAGAGCCCAAGGGACAACTGCACGAGAGGTATTTAAAGTGCTAGCTCCGCTGGAGTGGGAAATCCGTGAAAAAAGCCGAGCTGTATGGCCGGTAAGAGTTGAGGATATTCATAGGTTATTATTATTCAATTATAGATGTCTTCGAAGCATCGCTCGTATATCCGGGGACAGCCGAGTAAGCAATACTATAGTTAAGAAACGAGTACGAGGTAGGGTCGGCAAATTAACAGTTGAAATAATGAAACTTCTGTTGAGGAGGTTTGGACATGTATTACGAACGCCCAACCACCGACTGCCTCGACGAGCGATGTTTTGTGGTGTAGGAATAGGTTAGAAAAAAGCTAGAAATGGCCAAAACAAAATATGGAAGAAATCCACGAAGTCACTGACAGGTGGAGTGATTCACGTTGGTAGATGTGGCCCACCTGGTTGGGGTCCGCGAGACGATAGTAACCGATGGTTAGAAACCTAGAACTACATGGCTCAAAATCGTTTGCAATGGAGCAGGTGCATTCACTCTTCCTGTTCTCCCAAATTATAATCGTCTGAGTTGCTCATTACCTCTATCTTTATCTTTCTAAAGTTATCTCATTGAATTATACTTCTCGAATTATACCTGCGAACCCTAAACTTCTTCACTACCGCCAATACTTCTACTATCTCTGCTACAATGGGATTTGAACTGACAATTGTGTCTCTGTGCTCATTTGCTATGGCGACCTAAATTTATCTATGTACGTATGAAAATCTACGTCATAACTGATCGGTCGTTGAGTAGTCATGAATAGTCCTTTTAATGATGATCCCATCGAATAAATCAAGTTACGTTACATTCCCCATTTTAAGATGTTAACTAGCCGGAGTTAGCAGTAATCATTAAACCTTGAACTAGGTTCAAACTACACCAGATTGATCAGAGTTATAGATTAACATCTTTGGATACCGGCTCAGTGGTTTAGAGGTTAGGCGTTCGAGCGCAAGACGGAAGGTTCTGGGTTCGAATCCTACATGTGACAGGATTCATGGGTGCGCACTGCCACTGATGAGTCCCACACCAGGACGAAACGGTCGTCCACTGCCTCCAGGTTTCTAACGACTTCCCAGTGTAAATACACTAGAAGTATCATTTCCCTTACTATTGCCTACAAGGACAATCTTCTTGATGAGTGTAAACAACTATCATAAAACCTAAAAGTTCCAAGTTTTTTCTCTTGACTACATCTTTTACAATTTGAACATTAAAAAAAAAGGATATAGTACCATTCAGTTTACTAAATCAAGTTTTAATCAATTCCAAAAGTCAAACAAACTAATTCACACTACACAACAAAGTTTATCAACATGATCATCTTCTTACAAATGCATTGGCTAGTTTGGATCTTACCATTGATCATAAGAATTGCAATTGATCAGTCTTATCTGACATATGTGTGTTCTGTGCAGACTGTCTCGATATAGACATTAAGTGATAAGGATTGTAAAGAGAGATAGATAGTGATTAGAAGTGGAATCCAAGACGGTCATTTCGTGTTATTTGGAACTCAATTGACTAGATGTACCTGCATCTCATATTTGATGTTCACTTCGAGACTCAACTATCAGTCAGTTAGTCAGTCAGTTGCAATGTAGAACTTCGTACGTATGTACATAAGTTCAGGTTGCCATACCAAATTAGCACAGAGATGCAAATGTCAAATCAAATCCCATAGTGATAAAGATATTAGAGGTATTAATGGTAATGAAGAAGACTAGGGTTCGAAGATATTACTCAAGAAGTAAAATTCAGTGAGATAAAGTTAGAAAGACGAAGGTAGAGGTGTTGACGAATCCAGAAGATTAGGATTTGAGAGAGCACAGCGAATGGATGAACTTGAGCCATTGCAAACGATTCTGAGCCATGTCGTTCAAGGTCTCTAACCATTGATGACTTTCGTCTCGCGGACCCCAACCAGGTAGTCTACATCTAGCAATGTGACTCAGTCCACTAGTCAGTGACTTCATGGATTTATGCAATGTTTTGTTCTGGCTGCCCCTAGCTTTCTTCCAATCTGCTCGGTCGGTGGTTAGATATTTGTAACACATGTCCCAACCACCTCAACTGATGAAGTTTCACTAACTCATCGATTGATCTGCCATCCTTACCTACTACTCGTTTCCTAACGACAGGATTGCTTACTCGGTTATCCCACGATATACGAACAATGCTTCTGAGACATCTACGATCGAATATTAGTAACCTACGAACATTTTCTACTCTTAATGGCCATGTTTCGCATCCATATAGGAGAACGGAGAACGAGACTCAACAATAGTAACGTACGTTCGGAACGCCATCGCATTCACCTACTTAGCTACTGAGTTCAAACGGTCACTAGTTTCTGCAATGGGATGAAGTTTCATTCATTTGTATGAGTAGTTCAAATCAGTCGATACAAGAGTTCTAGATTCCACTGCTAGCCACTATCCATCTTTGCTTATAACGCTTGTGATGATCATATTTCACGGTAAACTTCTACAGTCTTTAAAATTCACTGTAGCTGACTAGAGAAAATTTTCATTTGCCTGCTCTATACTACTATCAACATTAGCTAATAGTTATGCAATAAAATTTGTTACTTTTAAAATTCGCTATTTTATATTTATTTAAAAAAAGAAATTCTCAACTATCAAAAATATGATTGACCTTGGCAGAAACTATAGATAAATTTCATTTATAGTAACTTCTACTTTTACTATCTCTACTACTACTGTAGTGAAGGAGAACACCGATGAGGGCAACCGTTGTCACTATTCACGCGTTTCATACAAATTCCATTGTTTTCTAACTCTTCCCTTCTTGATCTTCCCCCATCTTCTGCTGCCAGACATTACGTTGACACTCACGTCATATACTACTTATAAGTAGCTCGCAACACACTACTACTACTGTGGTGTGCGCTACTTATGTTCACATAAGTAGTATATGATACCAAATGGAAATCAAATGTCTGACAGCAAAAGATCGAGAAGGAAAGAATGAGAATAGAAGGCGATTTGTAGGTAACGTAAAGTGAACTGAAGTCTGAACAGTCTAAATGAAAGAACACTGAAATCTGAAACAAATAAGGATTAGTTTGCAAATGATGATTGACGGGAAGGTTTTGTAAATATGCTTAACAACTCTGTAATATTTGCTTAATATGTGTTAATGTCCTCACCTGAGTTCTCGAGAACAACATTTGGTGTCGCTGGCAGGATGAAGATACCGTGGCCGAAGGAGTTCGAGGACGTGGCGGAGCTAGCCGGATGGAAGCAGGAGAAGACGGTGGTTTTGGGATTGCTACTCCGCGGCCGAGCGAAGGCGGTGTATAATAGCCTGGATGTAGAGAATTCAGATGACAGTTCGCCACAGGCTCTCACTCGACTAGTGGTGTTCGAGTAGAGAGCTTGTATAAGGTTAATGTAAACCCTTCAATGACAGACACTGCCACAGAACCTCACGATCCACTGTGAACTTATGTACATACGTACGAAGTTCTACGTTGCAACTGACTGACTGACTGATGATCCACTGAGTCAAATGCCGCTTTTAGGTCCAGGAAAACAACTATTGTAGGACGCCTAAATGTGTGTCTGTGTTCCAAGACCTGTCGTAATGTGAAGATGTGATCTATACATCCACGTCCAGGTCGAAAACCAGCCTGGTTTTCTCGAGTCTGCTCTTCACGAGCTCTAATTAGACATCTAAGTATAATCGAGGCTAACAATTCAGAAACTATATTAGTTAAACTTATTCCCCTGTGAATGTCACAAGAGGACTTTTGTCCTTTCTGGTAGATTGGGACAATTAGCGACTGAGACCAGTCAGATGGGATTACGTCCAGTTCGATCACTACGCCAAAGTAGCAGCTACAGCGGGGAAATTTCATCTCAAAAACACTTGATTACATCTTGTGAAACAGAAAACACACTCAACAATAATTATACTAAATGATTGTAATATATATAAAATACGCATATAACTTACCATTTGATGATTTGAATGCAACATCACCGGCAGTTTGTTTCACATTCATATTATTATTATTATTATTATTATTACTATTATTGCTTATTCTAGGTAATGAAGAATAATTTATAGTGAATTCTTTCTCTGCGCCAACAGTATTCGTTAAATTTACATAAGAATGACGTGTATCTGGAAGCTAAATGAAAAAAAATATACATGTAGGTGTAACAAAACAACTACAAATAATCGGTGAAAAGATACAGGTATATATTACAGTAAGAATAAATTATCATTTTAGAAAATAAAAACTATTCAATACACAGTGATATAATCCGGTAAAAAGTATAACTTTTGAGACAGTTATTATACTAAAGGAATATTAGGTAGATGCTTAGACTGGGCGGCATTATTGACGAGCGAGGTGGGTTTAATGAAGATATGAAGGTGCAGACTGGCGAATCAAGGACAGCATTTCTACAAGTGAACAACATCTGCACCTCGAACACAACTATCAACAAACAACAAAATCAGAATTTTCAATACAAATCTCAAGACAATGTTCTACTGTTTGAGACGGAAAATTGGAGAACTACCAGTCGTCATCTGGAAGATACAAGTGATTAATAATAGTTGTCTACACAAAAATACGGAAGATCCGTTGGTCAGACACCATCAGCAACAACCTAATGTAGGAGAGAACAAACCAGATTCCAGTGGAGGACGAAATCAGGAAGAAGCTCTGGAAGTGGACAGGACACATATTGGGGCAAACACTCAACTGTGTAACAAGACAAGCCCTCAGTTGGAACCCTCAAGGACAGAGGAGTAATGGAATACCAAAAAACACACTGAGTCGAGAAATGGAGACAGACATGGGAAGAATAAACAAAAATCGGACAGAACTGGCAAGGGAAGCTGAGGACAGAGTAGGTTGGAGAATGCTGGTTTCCAGCCTATACTGAATTAGTGGTAACGGATTTAAGTAGGTAAGATATAATATTGCATATATTAAAGTCCATGGATATCTGTAGACGCAATTTCAACTGGAAAAGTCAAGATGAAACAACAAGCAAGTCAAAGAACACATAGTCTTATAGTGACTGTGTATTAGAAATAAATGGACAAAACAAAACTGATCAGATTTGTCATCGAATATGAATAAAGAATAAACAACAATGAAATCATAAATCAAATCAGATCAAGGAAGAAAACAGTCAAAGAGAACATGACAACAGATGCAACATCATTATTAGATAAAACAACCAACGAAAAATTCAGATTGACAGACCAAGTTATGATTTGGTTTTTTCATTAAATAGTTATAGAGATTGTTTTTTTTTTACATTGAAATAGTGAATCAGTCATTCTTAGACTAGACTATAAACCTGGGCGCACTGGACGGTCGTTTCGTCTTCTAGACCACTGAGTCGGCACCCAACAGTGTTGATCTCTAACTTTGATCAATCTATAATGAAAAATCATAAAATGTGCTCATTAGCGACTAGTTTCGTGAGGGAATTCTCGTGACCGGTGGAATCCAAGCTTCATGTGCTGTTACGAGTATGAGGGCGGTTGTCACTTCCCGGCTGCCTACACCGTGGAAGTCCGTGGAGTCCAACCTTGTAGGGTGTAGACAGTAATTACAGAAGGCAATAAGTGAGGTTGCTTAATACTTTAAGTTGATCAAAGTTCGCCATTAACACAATTGGATACCGTCTTAGTGATCTGGAGACTAAGTGTTCACATGTAAAACCAACGGCCTCGTGTTTAATTCGAGAGAAACGGTCGTTGATGAATCCCATACTAGGGACGAAACGGTCGTCCAATGCTTCCAGGCTTTTAATCGTCATCTAACAATGATTGACAAGTGATTTCAATGGCAATTAATTGTAAAGAATACAAATATTCTGTAATCATATCATATCATATCAACCATCAGTGTAATGCACTGATTATTACATATGATCATTTTAACTCGCAATACAGATGATAAAATTCATGTAAAAATTTTTAAACAAACTGTAAGTAACATTTGTTAATTAATTATTCACTTAATCACACATACATACATACATACATACACAACTACGTACGCATTTGCACGTACAGTTAGCTAGCTAGCTAGTTAGTTAGCTAACTTTCACTCGACAATCATTATGAAAAAAGTTATTATTCTTTTTCACATATGATCGATCTCTCACATAAAACAAAAATACACACACACACAATTGGACATATTCAATATATTCAAACAAATAAAACAGAACAAAAAGTTTAAAAACTGATTGAAATGTGAATGTACACCATTTTTTTTTGATTTAGCCTCTCTCTAAATGGAATTGATAAATAAAACTGACCAAATGATGTTTTTTTTCAGAAAATGAATTATAACAATTTATTTTTTTGGAATGATTCACCTTATTACATTTTTTAAACAACATCAGTTTTGTTATATGTAAACACATGTCATCAAATATGTTGACACATTGAAGATCATACTAATAATAATAATAATAACAATGTTATTGATATATGATAGAGTATGCACATAAATAGGTGTGATATGAAATGAGAGCAATCAGTCAGTCAGTCAGTTGCAACGTAGAACTTCGTACGTATGTACATCAGTTCATGTTGCCATACCACATTAGCACAGAGATGCAACTGTCAATTCAAATCCAATAGTAGAAGACGTAGTAAGGGTATTAGAAGAAATCGGAGAGGTTAGGATTAGAAGATATTATTCGACAAGTATGATTAAATGAGAAAAGTTTAGAAAGTCAAAACTAGAGGTGTTGAAGAACTCAGAAGATTAGGATTTGAGAGAACATAGAGAATAGATGAACAGGAGCTATTGCAAACGGTTTCAGGGTCTCTAACCATCGATTATTATCATCACGCGGACCCCAACCAGGCAGTCTACATCTAGCAATATGACTCAGTCCATTAGTCAGTGACTTCATGCAATTCTGCCATATTCTAGTTTGACCGCCCCTGACTTTCTTCCAACCTATCCCTACACTACAAAACAAAGCTCGTCGAGGCAGTCGGTGGTTGGGCATACGCAACACATGTCCCAACCACCTCAACTGATGAAGTTTCATTAATTCATCTATTGATCTGCCAATGTTAACTAGCACCCGTCTCCTAACGATAGCATTGCTTACTCGGTTGTCCCACGATACACGAGCAATGCTTCGGAGACACCTATGATCGAAGACTAGTGACCTACGAATATATTCTACTCTCACTGGCCATGTTTCACAGCCATAAAGTAAGACGGAGCGAACCACTGTGCAGTACACTCGTCCTTTAGTCAGCAAACGGATATCTTGCCTACGCCATAAGTGACGCAGGTTGGCAAAAGCAAATCGAGCTTTCTGTATCCATGCTGAGATTTCGTCAGTCACCAGGCTATCAGCACTGATGAGACTCCCCAAATGAGAGCAGTACGTGTGGCCATATGACAACAATTTCTATAGAGAGAACAGACTTCATCCATTCCCAGCAGTACTAGGACATTTAGGCTACAAGTGGATTTGTTAATAATGTAAAACACGTTATATTATTGCTCTCATTTATAATATAACGTGTTTTACATTATTAACAAATTCAATTGTCCTCTAAATGTCCTAGTACCGCTGGGAATGGGTGAAGTCTGTTCTCTCTATGGAAATTGTTATCATATGGCCATACATATACATTCCCTGCCAGTACAGTATTACTAACTACTTTCTTATGGTAACAGTGTCAGTCACAAAATTTACTTACTTACTTACTTACGCCTGTTACCCCCAACGGAGCATAGGCCGCTCACCAGTTTTCTCCAACCAACTCTGTCCTGGGCTTCCCTCTCCAGTTCTGTCCAGTTTTTGTTCATTCCTCTCATATCTTTCTCTATTTCTCGGCGTAATGTATTCTTTGGCTTTCCTCTTTTCCTTTTGCCTTGAGGGTCCCAAGTGAGGGCTTGTCTCGTGACGCAGTTCGGTGCTTTTCGTAGAGTGTGTCCATTTCCATTGCTTCTTCCTGTTTTCCTCTTCTATTGGAATCTGGTTTGTTCTTTCCCACAGTATATTGTTGCTGATGATGTATGGTCAACGGATTTGAAGTATGTTACGTCAATAACTGTTGACAAATACCTTTGTCTTGAGGATGATGACTTTCGTAGTTCTCCAAGTTTCCGCCACATACAGTAGAACTGTCTTGACATTTTGTATTGAAAATTCTGATTTTAATATTTGTTGATAGTTGTTTTGAGTTGCAGATGTTGTTCAGTTGTAGAAATTCCGTCCTTGCTTTGCCAATCCGCGACCTCACATCTACATCAGATCCACCTTGATTGTCGATGATGCTGCCAAGATATGTAAAGGTGTTAACGTCCTCCAAGGCATCTCCATCAAGAGTGATTTGTTTGGTGAATGTTGTGCTGCATCGGAGAATTTAGTCACAAAATTTAGACGACTTAAATTCAATGTCTAGCGATTTAACTTAAGTTCATGGGTACGGAGGATCCACACAGAGGACTGGAAAAACTCTAATTCCAAACAAATATCAATGGTGCACATGAGATTCAAGATCCGGATCGAATCTATTGTTGGTCAATCACTATCATGTGATGATTGCATCTCCTTACATTATTAGTTCCACTACATTGTGGATGAGACCTTTAGGTCGAAGGCTCGGTGACTAGTCAGTCCCCTAAAGAAACCACCTGCTTTGGTTTTCACATTCGAGCAGTATTAAAGCCCATTCAAAAACTTTATAGTTTTTGAATGTTTATAGTTCTTTTGTAACGATGCTTAAAAAATCCTAAGGTTAGGTGTTTGCATGCAAGACCTAAGGTCCCGGGTTCGAATCCTGCGAGGTGCAGGAGTCTTGGATGCGCACTACTGATTAGTCCCATACTAGAATGAAACGGCAGTCCATTGCTTCCAGGTTTCTAATGGTTATTTAATAATGATTGATTCATGATTTCAAATGTATGAAAACAATGATCTCCATAACTCCGATTGAAAAATTCAACAATAATTCATAATAATAACTGAAATGAAAACAACAGATTACCATTCATATCAACCTACGCTTTAAATTATTAGTCTGTCTTTTTAAGCATATAAATAAAACGCTTTTATAATAAAAATCTGTTCTAGTATTTCATTCTTTACTGAACATGATATCGTAATATTATGAAAACTAATTCATTTCGAAACATTGAACATTGAATTGTATGAAAAAATAGTGAGTGATACGGTTATAACCAAACACAAACACACACACACATTTAAAGAGAAGGAAAAACAAGACAGTGTCAAATACAACACGAATAAATACAAGAAAGAAAAAAATCAGTCAGTCAGTCAGTCAGATGCAACGTAGAACTTTGTACGTAAGTACATCAGTTCATGTCGCCATACCACATCAGCACAGAGATATAATTGTCAATTCAAATCCAATAGTAGAAGAGGTAGTAAAAGTATTAGGAGTAATCGGAGAGGTTAGAATTAGAAGATATTATTCAAGAAGTATGATTCAGTGAGATAAGTTTAGAAAGTCAAAACCAGAGGTGTTGAAGAATTCAGAAGATTAGGATTTGAGAGAACACAAAGAATAAATGCACCGGCGCCATTGTGAACGGTTTTGAGCCATGTCATTCAGGGTATCTAACCATCGATTATTATCATCTCGCGGACCCCAACCAAGTAGTCGACAATTACCGACATGGATTTCTGCCATGTTTTGGTTTGGCCGCCCCAGCTTTCTTCCAACCTATTCCCACACTACAAAACAAAGCTCGTCGAGGCAGTCGGTGGTTAGGCATACGCAACACATGTCCCAACCACTTCAACTGATGAAGTTTCACCACTTCGTCTATTGATCTGTCATTCTTACCTAGCACCCGTTTCCTAATAACAGCATTGCTTACTCGGTTGTCCCACGGTATACGAGCAATGCTTCGAAGACACCTATGATCGAAAACCAATAACCGACGGATATCTTCTACTCTCAAAGAAAACAATGAAATAGATACATAAAGAAGCATTGATATCAAGTTTTTACGGTTTACTCAGTTGCTTTTTTTCAGTTCGTGAAGATGATGCTTAGATGTTGATCATATTGAGTAAAGGGAACAAAATATTGTGAAGCAACTCAAGACAATGGTTCATAATGGGACAATGGAGGACAAGAGGTGTAAAATCACTATTTGACTAAGGCTAATATATTGCAGATCTGATTTAGGTCCTATGGGACCAAGATTTTTACACAGATCGATCACTGATTAAGTACCAATGTTATTCTTGCCCATTGTACTAATCAACCAGTCAATCAACAGCAACGTAGAACATCGTACGTACATACATCAGTTCAAGTTGCCACAGAGATGCGATTGTCAATTCAAATCCCATAGTATTATAGGTAGTAAAAGTATTAGCAGTAATCGGATAAGATAAAGGTGATGAGTAACTCCGAAGGTTAGAATTTGAGAGAACACAAAGAATGAATGCACCTGCGCTATTGCATACGATTTTGAGCCAAGGTCTCTAACCATCGGTGACTTCCATCTCGCGGAACCCAACCAGATAACCTACATTTACCAACAGGACTCAGTTCACTTGCCCATTGTAACAAAAACAGCTCTCTAATATGCAACACTTGTGATCTAAATATATATGGTCCAGTGGTTGAAAATATTAGATACACTATAATTATTGAATACTGAGAACTTTGCCAAGAATAATCGTTATCTCGTCGCGTTAAATCCATGTGTTATGTCAGCAGTAAAAATTATGGTGGTTTAATTATCTGAGCTAGATTGTGTGATAAGATCGAGTTTCATAATGATTGTAGAGTGTATACTAATATGTCTGTTAAGCTTGTTACTTGAGATGCTTGAACCGATCACAAGTTCACCTTAGTCAATAAATGAGAATGAGATAATGAATCAGTGACACACTAGGCTACTCTGATCCATTTCCCCAACTAACTGTAGAAAAAGTCTTGATAAGGCGTAGAAAGTGTCTTCTACAAACACCCAGCCAGCACACAAATCGCGCCTATTTATACATCATAAAAACTTCCTTGGGAGAGTCACAAAAATAGCGTACTAAAATAACACATCAACCAATCACAGCCAAGGATTTTCATGGTGGGAAATGTGACCTCAAGGTCAACTGATTAGCCCATGAATAAAATCCAAAATAAAGATATTCATCAAGCGAGTTTTGGGGATCTAGCGTCCCTAACAATGTCTTATTGTCTACATCAAGTGGTATCCGTCAGGGCTGTCCACTCTCTCCATTATGGTTTAACTTTGTCGTAGACATCCTCTTAGAGTTAACATTAAGCTCGTCAGATTTGTCAGGGGTTGACCTTCTACCAGGAAAGTCGCTTACTGATCTAGAATATGCCGATGACATAGTTCTATTCGGTGAAGACGCTGATAAAATGCAGTCTTCTGACAAACATAAGCAACAATGCGAGCATGTTCGAAATGCAAATTGTTGCTTCAGGACTGGGTTTCATCGGCACCTGAACTAGTGATAGGGAATGAAGTAATCGAGCGTGGTGATCGTGTAACTTATCTTGGAAGTCTTATCAGCGCTGATAGCCTGGTGACTGACGAAATCTCAACGCAGATGCAGAAAGCTCGATTGGCTTTGGCCAACCTGCGTCACTTATGGCGTAGGCGTGATATCCATTCGCTAGCCAAAGGACGGGTGTACTGTGCAGCAGTTCGCTCCATTCTCATATATGGATGTGAAACATGGCCGTTAAGAGTAGATGTTCGTAGGTTACTACTATTCGATCATAGATGTTTAAGAAGCATTGCTCGTATACCGTGGGACAACCGAGTAAGCAATGCTGTCGTTAGGAAACGAGTACTAGGTAACGATGGAAGATCAATAGATGAAGTGGTGAAACTTCATCAGTTGAAGTGGTTGGGACATGTGTTGCGTATGCCTAACCACCGACTGCCTCGACGAGCTATGTTTTGTGATGTAGGAGTAGGTTGGAAGAAAGTTAGGGGCGGCCAGACAAAAATATGGCACAAATCCATGAAGTCACTGACAGGTCGACTGAGTCATGTTGGTAGATGTAGACTACCTGGTTGGGGTCCGCGAGACGAAAGTCACCAATGGTTACAGACCTTGAACGACATGGAGCAAAATCGCAAGTGCATCCATTCTTTGTGTTCTCTCAAATCGTAATCTTCTGGATTCGTCAACACCTCTACCTTTGTATTTCTAACCTTATCTCACTGAATTATACTTCTTGAATAATATCTTCGAACCCTAGTCTTCTTCATTACCATTAATCCCTCTTTCACTTTGGGATGTGATTTGACATTTGCGTCTCTGTACTGATGTGGTATGGCAACATGAACTTATGTACATACGTACGAAGTTCTACGTTGCAACTAAATGACTGACTGAACAATGTCTTAACCTCTGAGCAAATTAATTAATCTATTCTTCTCCAGTTATCCACATGTCTTTCGACCTTGTCACCATCGTACAGCACAGGTTTCGCTTAAGTATCATATACGGAAATGAAAGGGCAGATTTATTTCATCGCATACTCGATCGCTCAACCAAACTGAAGTCAGATCGCAGGCCACTAAAGTGATGAGCCCTACTAAGAATTCAACTCAGCCACTAAATGATACAAATAAGATTTTTTTTTGAAAAAAAAACGTTACACATATTTGTAAAGTCAAAATTGTTTTTTTTTGATATTAAAAGAGAAAAAGAAAAGTAAAATCAAATGAACTTACATGATGATAATCACCTAACAGTAATTCAGAACCAGACAATAAATAATCAACCTTTAATATAAATAAAAAAGACAGAAATTCTCATATTACACTATGTTTGGTTGTAAAATACATAGAAATGAATAAAAATTGTTGATGGGACGTAGATTAGATTACAGCATGATTGCGATGCTACACGCTGATTGGCTCTTTCGTATCCAATCAGCGCTAGTCAATACTGAGGGAATATTCTAGAATCGTCTCATGTAAGAAAACTATAAATATATTAACGTCTTTTTCATTTGGACCTTTTATCTTCCATTTTTAGCCTTGTTATTGGGATATAATCTATTTCCTATGCAACTGTGTTCTGATTTTTGGAGAACGTCTCGAGTGAATTGGTGTCCGAGAATGCTAAAGCATTAGGAATAGCTGGGTTGTATGCAAGAGAGAATTGTAACAATAATAAACCTAACTATTTTAGTGAAACTTCAGGATAAAGCTAGTGTGTCTGATCATAGGAACACACCAAAATTTGTGAATAGAATGAAATATTCAAGACAAATTGGGGTCTGTTTCACAGTTAGCTGGCGGCGGCGGCAAGGAACGGCAGTGTTAGGCTACTATTGTAAAATATATACGGATTCAATAATAAGTCGAACAAGTCTAACAAAATGATTTTTCTCTTAAGACAGTGGTTACGTAACTTAAGTAAAAGATTGTAACATCAAAAGAAACAACCTTGAATTTGTGAAATTCAGTATGAAACGTCAGGATAAAGGCAGTGTGCCGCATCATAGGAACCCCGACCGTAGCTGCTACCTTGACGTGGTGGTCGGGCTTGCCTATCGTGATGACCCAATCGAGCTATACTGGCTGGAACATATGTTCCTGCAGGTCCTACCATGCTAGACAGGTCGACTGGAGAACAGTGAGACTAAAAGCAGCAACTTAAGGTCTGAGGGCGAAGTCGTACTGCTGACTGCAGAGGGGTGTGACAGCAGTAAGGTGTTCCCCTCGGATAACTAGCATCTGCAGCGATGCTGCCTTCTCACAAGGAATGAAGGGTTAGAAAAGGTAGAACCTAAAAATGTCACACCTCACTCTACCTCACGGATTTCCGTCTGCGGCGGTAAGGGTGCCCACTAAGGGCTTTCGAGAGAGGATCTAATACTCAAAAAACTTCTCATAAAAAGGCTGTATGTGACCGGCCTCAAGCAGTTGTCCCTTGGACTCTGCGGTCACGCTCCAAGGTCTCCAAGACCAACACTAATCTACCTTCCTTTTCAGGTCTCTCAAGAAACAACCTACCATGGTGTGGGCAGCCGGGAAGTGACAACCGCCCTCATACCCGTAACAGCACACGACACCCAAAAATGTTCATACCACATTAGCACAAAGACGCAATTGTCAATTCAAATCTGATAGTAGTAAAGGTAGTAGAAGTATTAGCACTAATCGGATAAGACTGGGGTTCGAAGATATTATTCAAGAAGTAGAATCTAGTGAAATATACTTAAAAAGAGAAATATAAAGGTGATGAGCAATGCAGAAGATTAGAATCTCAGAGAGCACAAACAATGGATGCACTTGCGCAATGGCAAACGATTTTGAGCCATGTCATTTAAAGTCACTAACCATCGACTACTGACATCTCGCAGACCTCAACCAAGTAGTATACACTTATCAACATAACTCAGTACACTTATCATTGACTTCATGGATTTCTGTCATGTTTTGGTTTGGAACTAGCATGTAGATTGTATAAAGATTGTACTACTGTCAAAATCCAAGGTGTTTCATAGTAGAATAAGTCAAGTGGAAAACATTTTAATGACTCTATCCAATAAAATGATATAGTACCAATGAATTTTCCTTGTTACACCGTCAGTCAGTCAGTCAGATACAACGTAGAACTTCCTACGTAAGTACATCAGTTCATGTTGCCATATCACATCAGCACAGAGATGTAACTGTCAATCCAAATCCCATAGCAGTAGAGGTAGTAAAAGTATTAGAAGTAATCGGAAAGGTTAGGATTAAAAGATATTATTCAAGAAGTATGATTCAGTGAGAAAAGTTTAGAAAGTCAAAACTAGAGGTGTTGGAGAATCCAGAAGATTAGGACTTGAGAGAACACAAAGAATAAATGCACCGGCGCCATTGCGAACGATTTTGAGTCACGTCATTCAAGGTTTCTAACCATCGATTATTATCATCTCGCTGAACCCAACCAGGTAGTCAACGATTACCGAAATGGCTAAGTCAACTCGTCAATGACTTCATGGATTTCTGCCATGTTTTGGTCTGGCCGCCCCTAACTTTCTTCCAATCTACTCCTATACGACAAAACAAAGTTCGACGAGGCAGTCGGTGGTTAGGCATACGTGACAAATGTCCCAACCACCTCAACTGGTGAAGTTTCATTACTTCATCTACTGATCTGCCATCCTTACCTAGTACTCGTTTCCTAACGACAGCATTGCTTACTCGGTTGTCCCAGGATATACGAGAAATGCTTCTTAAACATCTATGATCGAAAACCAGTAACCTACGAATATCTTCTACTCTGACTGGCCATGTTTCACAGACATAAAGTAAGACGGAGCGGACTACTGCACAGTACACTCATCCTTTAGTCAGCAAGCGGATATCTCGTCTACACAATAAGTGATGCAGGTTGGCAAAAGCTAGACGAGCCTTCTGTATCCGAGCTGAGATTTCTTCAGTCACCAGGCCATTGGCACTGATGAGACTCCCAAGATAAGTGTTGTTACACTGTAGTGTTCAATCATTCAATGAACAAATGTTTAAAGCTATAGTTTATGAAGTGAAAATTAGTAAATTTAAATTTTCAATGAGAATAACATAAGAACAATCTGTAATGAAGATATATATACATATATATTTATCCCATGATATTTTTCGGCTCAAATCGTCACACGTGTTGTGATAGCAAACGAAATAGATTATTTAAAATATCAAAATCCACAGTTCAACATTTTCGACAATAAAGAAATTTGAGAAGTCTGGGTTTTTATAAAGGAACATGATATTAGTAAATAATATTATAAAAACTGATCCACATCAAACTTATAAGGGGATAGTATGATCGACTGGTGGGTGGATTATATTTCAGTATTTCGATTGGACAAGAAGATAATTTCCCCGGGGAATGACTTTTTCACCGATAATCATACACCAATTAAGTAATTAGAAATGGTCGTGTTAGTTAACACTTGTCAGTAAGGCGTTTTAAGTTGACTGACACTTCCTGTGGGATTAAAATTCAGCTTCGCAAACTAAGTGATAAGAATCTAAATACCATATACAGTACGAGTTTCATCAAAATTAATAAATATTCCTTCTTGATACATGCTAACCAGAAGGAACCTAGATCCAGGGATTCAGGCCAACCACTTTCAACCAACTACCATTACAATATGCTACGCATAATGTTTGAGCATTACGATAGAGGACGACATTACAACTAAAACTATATTCGGGCTTCAAATTAACGTCATCACACGAACGGGTTCGCCTAACAGTGGCATACAAAAATTAAAGATTATATTCATTTGATAGCTTATTCAATCGCTCGTACCTAATAGTCAGATACCGAGTACATATAGCGCAAATAAACTGTGTCTTCTCGACATATGTATTAGTACATCAAGTCACAACGTCTTCGTACTCATAGTGTGGTGCGAGCTACTTATAAGTAGCATATGACGTGAGTGTCAACGCACTGTCTGGCAGCAGAAGATGGGGGAAGATCAAGAAAGGAAGAGTGGGAACACAATGGAATTTGTATGAAACGCATGAATAGTGAAATGTCAGACAATGGATTGAAGATTTGCAAATTAACCGTTTACGATATGGTTTTCCTATCTTACTGAATAACTCTGTAATTTTCGTTAAATACAATTCGGTTGCCCTCACCTGTGTTCTCCTTTTCACTACACTATAAGAAGTTAGTGGAGACTGTCGTTGAATTTTATTGGTTTATATCATGAAGTAATAATCAAGAAGTTCAACCCTGTCGGGTGTAGGCAGTAACCACTGATGACAATGGGTGAGATTGCGCAATATCAGGGATTGAATAAAGTTAAACAATAACACCATTGGATTCTGACTCAATAGTCAAGAGACTAGGTGTTCATGAGTGAAACCGAATGTTCTGGTTTCGATTCTATTGATCTAGGTCGTGGATGTACACACCTGATGAGTCCTATGCAAGGACGAAACAGTCGCTCTGTGCTTCCAGGTTTCTAATGGTGGTCTAACTTTGATTGATTCATGAATAGCTAACGTAATCCGACAGATAGAATTAATCTAATCCTACGAAATCTTTTGAATAAACTGCAGTTTGTGTAGTCTAATTAGTTAATTCCAAAATGGTTTTTATCATTTGAAATGAAGATCCTCCTGGAAAACGAACATTCAGTTTGAGAATAAAAAACTTTGCTGTCCCTTTCTTGAATCTCATCTATAATATGTTACCGAAAACTAACAGTTAGAAAGCTGACTATAGCAAATAATGTTTGATGTCGGTGATAAGGTCTGTAAACTACGAAGTTATCATATCAAAAACTAATTCAAGACTGTGTATGACCAGCCACGGGCAGTTCCCAAGTTGTCAGTTTGTGTTCGAAACTAAAATTGAAATGACTATCAAACTACTTCGCATAATCTTATATGTGATCAAAATAATTTGCAGCATGATTTCCTCTTTTTTTGAACAAAACTTTATTACGGACTGTAATAGTGTGGTGCGAGCTACTTATAAGTAGTATATGACGTGAGTATCAACGTAATGTCTGGCAGCAGGAGATGGGGGAAGATCAAGAAAGGAAGAGTTAGAAAACAATGGAATTTGTGTATGAAACGCATGAATAGTGACAATGTATTGATGTTTCGCAACAGGAACAGTCCAGTTCGATATGATGGACTGATATTTTGCAAATTAACCGTTTACGATATGGTTTTCCGATTTTACTGAGTAACTCTGTAATTTCCGTTGAATACAATCTGGTTGCCCCACCTGTGTTCTCCTTCACTACAATAGTTCT